GCACGGCTGCTGGACATCAACCCAAATGTGTGCACGAAGACCCTCAGCTTAGCTAGAAGATTGGTACGACCTGCCCCAAGCATCGCAGGCGCAGGAACATGCCAAAGGATTTTGTTGTCAATAGACCGCAGCAGCTCTCGCTCTTCTTGCCAGTCCTGAATCCTGCGCTCTGAGCCAAGCACCACGAGGTCATCGAGCTTGAGGAATTCCTGCGAAGCATAAGTTTGAGGTCTGAGGGGAAAGTGCCAACATTGCCCTGATCAAGCTGCCACTGCACTTGCTTGCACAACACTCACTGGTTCAGGAAACTGACCTACCCTGTTTAATCAAATCAGCACACCTGGCACGACGGAAAGGACATATTTTTGCTGCTCCTGCAAATCTGTGCTGAGTCAGCCGGAATTCCGGAAGATTGAAATCTCGAATCTCACGTTTTGAAGAAAACATGTGCCTTGCGCTTCAGCAATCTGTACATGCAAGATGCGAGGCAGCAACGGCAGCTCCGCCTCACTCGTTCCCTGGATCTATATGTTCATCTATACTTCCTTTATCCCAGGTTATAAGCTTACTTACAGTGGCGGGCCACCTTGCAGCCGCAAGACCTGACCAACGCTGTGCAAGAAGTCGCTGATGACATCTGCCGTGGAGCCAGAGCCAGTGCCGCCATTGCCTGCCGGTCCAGCACTGCCCTCTCCTCGTGGTCCTTGCCCGCCTCGCCCTTGCCATTGCATAGGAGCTTGACGGGCTTGACGCTGGGGAGCTCGATCATCTTCACGAACATACGAGCTGCTTCGCCTGCTTGGCCTGGTTCTCGGCAGCGGGCTGCGTGTACGATGTGTGCGGCAGCTGCTTCCCCCTTCATGCCCACGAGCTGAGGCCTCATCAGCTGAGATTAGGGTAAGGCCAGCGCCCCCGGCCCCGGCCTCCCAATGCTCAGCGGCTCGCTGTTGGCGTTGCGCACACACACCATAGACTTCATGTTGCCACCTCGCGTTGGGCGAGTCCGTTATCATTTTCCCGCACCTGCTGCAGGGTCGCTTGGCGGGCTTTTTCCGCCTGCGAGCGGTTCCGAGCCCGCTGGTTGTTGTCCTCCAAGTTGCTGCTCTTGCGCTTATCAGCAGAGTCAGCAGGCTCCTTAGCAGGAGTCTCATCAGCACGGACGCTGCCGATCAGTAAAGCGCGCAAGCACATCTGCCAACTTAAGAGGTTCCTGCTGCGCAGCTACATACCCATCAGGCAGGCAATTCCAGGATGCGACAGAGGGGTCAAGCAGAGGAAATGGAACCCCTTCATGCGACTTCCACCACAAGAATTCCGAAACAAACCCCTGGACACGGGGGCCTTCGGGGGCCTGATCAGCTTGGAAGGCGTACGTCGCTTCAACTGACGGATCCGTCGCATCAGAGGACTCTGGCATACACCCTCTAACAAAGTTCTTCCATCTACGCCAGGCGGCTACGTGACCCCTAAGGGAAGGAAGCTCACTGCGGGCCAAGAGACTACAAAACACAGACCGAGCGCTCTCGCGCTGACGCTCCACAAGCGGGCTCCACCGAAGGCCTCGGCGGCCCATATGCTCGAAAATCATCCAACATTCATCCACACTTGATGTCTTGTCTCCCAGTATTGCGGCCTTTGAAGTAGGACCTGCTTTCCACTGAGCAACAAACGGACCAGCGGGAACAGGCACATGTGCAGCTGCACTGGGGGCTCTAGCTGGCTCTAGAAATCGACGCAACGCGAATGCAAGCTGAGGCCACCTCAGCAGAAAGACTCGGGGCCACGGCCTGTAGCCCCTCGGCTATCACTCCCTTAAGATCAAAATCATCATGGTTGGATATGGGCCATGGCTGGAGGTATGTCTATGTTTCCGCATACCCAGATTGTTCTCGGCAAGCGCAGTGCTAACCTGCATAGTAGCCCTGGCTCAGGAGAAGGTGAACACAAAGGCAGTGTGCCCACTTGAAAGACCATGGCGATGTCATAAGAATGTGCAAGCCAATCCCAACCAGGCTAGTGCACAATGTGATATAGAGAAACATAAGAACACGCCGTACCCCGAATGGAATAGGAAGTTGTTTTCCGAAAAGGACAAGTTCTATTGTTGTCTCAGTTGCGTAGACATGCAGCCTTTGGCCTGTTCTGGGTCACTACAATACAGAATGAACAAAAATGCTTTTGGAGGCCCAAAAGGTTAGGAAGGTTCAGATGAGGGAAAGGTCCGCTGACGCCTCTACGCAATTCAGGCACAATCCGAATTTGCCACGGCGATCCACCCTCAAGGTGCATTGAGTCCTCTTTGCCAAATGCTCCTGAAATACCCTTTACACATACCCCCCACCCAGCTCCCAACTCTAAAGAAAAAGGAAGCCACGAGACGAATGGAAAGACCTCCCATTGGGGGTAAGGCCAGTAGTGGAGCATCACATGCAGCAGAAAAGGAAAAATGAGATGAAAATTGGCATGATGTAGAGGTTCTGTAGCAATTTCAAGTAGGTCTAGGGAATAAGCTGAAGGTAGGTGCAATTAATGTCAGTCAGTCAGTCAGTCAGTCAGTCAGTCAGTCAGTGAGTGAGTCAGTCAGTCAGTGAGTCAGTCAGTCAGTGAGTCAGTCAGTCAGTCAGTCAGTCAGTCAGTGAGTCAGTGAGTCAGTGAGTCAGTGAGTCAGTGAGTCAGTGAGTCAGTGAGTCAGTGAGTCAGTCAGTCAGTCAGTCAGTCAGTCAGTCAGTCAGTCAGTCAGTCAGTCAGTCAGTCAGTCAGTCAGTCAGTCAGTCAGTCAGTCATGCGCCATGCGGCACGTGGACGGGCAAAAGCTAATGGAGGTTGGTTGGCCGCATTTCTACTTTAGCACTTCTGCAGTTTTTCAGTGAAGAAGACCCTGTTGCCCCACCTCCTATGCCTACAACACCTGCCCCACCCCCCTCAACCCCCACCCCAACCCCAAGGCTGGCCACCCTACCCCCCAGCTGTCCACTATGATGACTTTGTTTGTGTCCCAACCACTTCCTCAGCAGCCGAGCCGAAGCGGACGGCGCCTAGTGATAACAACTAAGTTCGATTCGGGCAGTTTCAATTTGATCAGCATCGATAGGTTCTCAGAAAACGACACACAGATTTTGCATGTTTAATGCATGCTAAAGTTGAATGCTTCGAAATAGTTGAACCCGTTGAACCCATCTAAATCTATTTCCAAGAGGTCCGCTGATTCTACAGAGCGTAGTTCTTCATTCTGACCAGGCTGCAGGTGAAATTGATGTGCAACATACAAGCCTGAACCCTACACCCTAAACCGTACTACGTTGTGACTTAGCAGTATGCTGCAGTTATTCTGCTGAGGAGCGAGTTGAGGAAGTTCATTGCCCGAATGATGCGACCTAGCAGGCAGTTCATCGAGACCGAATACGTAAGAATCTTAGCAATAGCGTGTGCATTGTGTGCATGCTCCACTGGTCATGGACTTTCATTCCAGGTACCCTTCTCCAAGTTGAGGTCCAGGTATCCAGCTACCAATGCTTCTGCAGAAAGATCCACAGCTTGGGCATCGCGAGAGAATGCCTGCGTGATTTGCTTAGGCTAGGGCTGATGGTGCAGTTTGAAAACAAGCTTCCTTGCCTGCTGCGCTGCCTGCCACAGATCATTGATGTCGCCAACCTGGAAGAAACTCAACTTCTCTAGCAGCTGCAAGCGCTTGCGAGGTTTTTTACTCGCCTGGATCCCGGCTCCCTTCAGCGCATCCGCATTCGCTGGTATACGAATCTGTTGCATCAGGGCAGCTGCAATCTGCCGCTCTATCTGAAACCGATGCACATGCACGACTGTAGTCAAGTCGCATACTCAAGGAATTGCTCCTTGGTAATGCCAGTCTTCGAACCGCTCTTGGTTTCAATCTTGAAGAAGGCCTGAGGAAAGCCCAAAACATTGGAACCTAACATACGTACACAAATCGCGGCCAATCATTTCACATTACCAGTGCCTTGCGCATCTCTCGGACACCCTTTTCCTGGCCACAGTCTGCTGTCAGATGCGCTGCCTATTACGGCTTGCCGGGGCCCAGTAGCAATAAACAAACGGAGCAGGGTCCAGCAGCTGCATCTCGCCACGCAGCCGCAAGAGACCGTCAACGAACTCTTTAAGGGATATGCTGCCTGCCAGGATCTGGCTTTAGCTTTCCAGAGAATGAAACTTGAACGGGCGCGATGCATGCTGGCACAGCTAGACTATGCCGATGCGCTCCTGAGTCGTCAGCGTCCAGACGCAAGAATAGGAGCTTCACATCACCAACTAGCACACCCAACCTGGAGGCAAGTCTGGCTGCTTCCAATCGCTGTCACGGCTGAGCAGCTGAGGGTCGGCAGAAGATACTTAAGGGATGGCATGCTGCCAGTTGACTCCTCCAAAGATGTCTGCGTGCGAGGCTGGTGCAAGGCCTGTCAAGCAGGTGATCATTCTGGGATAGCCGGGGCAACACAATGTACAGCCGCACCTCTGAAAACTCGCGCACCGAGAGAAGTCCAGAGCCATCTTCGTCAGCTTCATGGAACGCGCGACTTACCAACGCTACCAGCCTGTGACAACCGACAACAAGCGCCCCCAGCATGCGAGAATTGCTCTGTGGTACGAACAAGGCTGCGGCTGCACTTCCTTTGCGTCGCTGCTGCCCAGCGAAGCAGCAACTTCACCAGCTTCAGCAAACTCTGCCGCTCGGCCACATCGAACGGCCTGACACAAGCAGAGGTGGCAGCGGCCAAGGCAATTCAAATGAAAGTTCCGCACGTTGAAATGGATTGCGAGGCCTCCGGGAGATCATCAACCAGGAAGTCGAGCAACCTGCCGCTCAGACAGATCAGCAAGACTTCATGTGCACGGAGTTCCGAGGTGTTGCCGCAAAGACCCCCACCGATCCGCCAACTCCGCGGCCGGAAACGGGCCCGAAAGCTGCACTGCCGCAGCCACTGCCACCAAGAACTCAGACCAGCCTTGTTACCAGGTGCTCTGCAGCTAAGCAGATTAGCCATGGAGCAATGCATCTCAGCAGCTGAGGGCCATGTGTCTGAGGTTCGTGTGCTGATCAGGGCAAAGCTCCTTGAGACATGATCAAGAGAATGAGGAACATCAATGGCAAAGTGTCTGCATGGCTCGGTTCATCGGCGTTGTCAAGAGAAAAAGAAAGCTCACTTGGCCCTGCAGCCGACCTGTACTGCATCACACTTCAAAGCTGCATCGGGCAGCGTGGGTAGCAGCAGCCAGGGAAATAACAGAAATAGAAAGGACAAGCCAGCAACTTGACAGCTTGCTGAACTGCAAATACGACTCCTTCCCAAGGACGAATGCCATGCGATAATCTTCTGAAGCGAGATAGGGTATCTTGCAGTCTTGCAGAAATAGAAGCCATGCGCTGTAAGACATCCTGACAAGAGTGAAGGCGCTAAGTTTGCTTCTGCACGCAGCCCATACAGAATACCAATCGCACATGAATAGCTGGCTGAAGCTTCTCGCCAAATTTGCCAAGTGTCATGCTAGCCTCGACGCCAGTCGTTATTCGCAGACGCTTCTGATAGATATGGTACACTTCCTGCAGAGATTTCATGCTGCGCCGCAGGATTTGGCACGAGTCTTCGGTGAAAAGCGACTCCTGGGGGCAGGCCGTGATCGAAGCAGATTCACGGTACCAATCTATTCAAATACCGTATGAAAAACAAAAAACAAAAAAGTTTGCTCACCGTACCCAGCAGCATGCAACTCTCGCCTGCGGCTGTCCAAATTTAACTCGACATGCTGTTCTGCCTACCCTGACATGCTTAAGCACAAGTCAGTTTTTTGCGCTGTAGACAGAGGACTGGCAAGGACTTGTAGAGAAAAGCCACTGCCTTGCGACCAGCTCTTGCTTGCCAAGGTCAAGGCATGACAGGAAACTGCCTGAAATGCGTAAGATTCACATGATGCATCGTGCTGACTTTCAACAAACACCGGCAAGAGTGCGGCTTATCTTTCCGCAACCATCTGCTTCGGCTTTGAACAGAAAAATTGCTGCCCCCATGCTGCGGAGGAATATGCCGGCTTTCACATCGGCCAGTATCATTATCATCCCTTCTGCTTCAAACTGCTAAGAAAGAAAGCAAGCAGCCAGAGGCAATGCGCATACTCTCTGCGTGCAGTTGTGATGCGGAGAGCTTGCAGAGGTGGAAGGCCGTTGGCACAGGCCATTGCACAACAAACCAACACCTGCGGTTTGGCGTTTGATGTACTAAGCCTTACTAAGCAGCTTCGTGAAGGCCAGCTCTGGAGGGGCCCCCCAATGCCCCTACTGATGCCTCCAGAAACTGGAAGCGAGCCAGGCCATCAGAAGGCAACCCCGACAGCGTCCTAAGCAAAGCAGCTTGCAATCCCAAGAGCGATGCATTTGGATCAGAAGCATGCTCATACTGCAAGCGTCGCCAGATTGAGGTGGTCCAGATCGACAAGCACCGCTGTATACAAGGCATCGGCTTTGGCAAATGGCAATCCTGAAGGGTATCCAAGGTCACTAAACACTTAATCCTCGGGATTTGTCGCGCCCAGCCTCTATTCACAGGGTGGGCATCATCTAAACTTGCCGTTATGGTCATTCGCATCTTCAAGATTTCTCCAGAAGCCTGTTTGCTTCGAGATCTCCTGACGAACTGATATACTCAAGGACAGTGGGGTGCCAACAGGCGTGCCATTTCAGATTTGAGACTAATGCGTTGTAAGCAGCGTCTTTGTCATTCCATCGGACGGGGTCGTGGTTCGCCGTGCACGGGGTGTTGATACTTCCGGAGTCCTCTCAGCACGTAATGAAGGCCTTCAACAGCATCGGTGTGTGTTACTTCAGTGACCAGCAGCGAGATGCAGGTTTCAGGAATAAGAGAGCATTGCGGGTTCCTGTCATCAGATGGCTGGGAAATCAGCATTTGCGAGAAGGCCGCCAGCGACAAGCTGCAACTCTGCCGACTTGAAGAGCAGTCCATAATGGACCTTGGCCATCTGCCCCCATCTCTACCCTTAGACCCTCCACATTGACACCTGCTTTTGCAACCGTGGGGCGTGGCATTATATGCTGCAATAATACCACTGTACACCGATGACAAGAAGGCTTCAACCTTTGATCACGCAGGCTCAGACTCCACGCGGTCCTGTACTCACCCAGAATCCAAAAAGAAAGTTACAGCCTGCAGGTGCCCCGACCCCTCAATGCAAGCAGCAATGTCTGGCATCAGCGGATCGAAGCAAGAAAGCAGATGAAAGCAACGTGCACACGCCAAGAAACTTTGCTCAGCTCCGCCCGGCGCTCCTCGCCCTTCAAATGCTTCTTCCAAAACCTGTCAAGCCTGCCAACAAGCGTCTCTCAACACCTCAAGCCATCCCACCGGCCTGATACTTAAATGCCATCTCAACTTGCAGCAGCGCTGGCTTGCTCAGCGACATGTCGAGAGAACCGTTTTTAATAGCTTCCCAATAAACAAGCAGATGGACCCAAGTCCCTTAGCCTGGTCAGCGCATAGTCATGCTCGAAACAGGCCCGGACAGTTGCATCCGAGTCCCCATGGTAATCCTCACAGAGATGCACTCAGTTGCTCTGCACAAATCAGAATTGCGAACAGAATCTGTTGGCTTGGGGCTTAGATCCTCCAACCTGGCCATTGCCCTGCCCTCCTGCACCCATTCTCAAGAGCCATGTGAGCCTTCAGCTCTGCTTTGAAGACACATTTCTTGAAGCTCCCATGAGCGGCTTCCATACATGCTGCATGAGTACGTAAAGCAGCGCGCGCTAAACGGTCTATTTATTTTTTTTGCCAAAGCAGGCGTCCTTGAAGATGGACTTCTTGAAGCTCCACTCAGGCTTCTTGTGACTCTGTTGCAGAGAACGAGGCGGGACTGGGGCTGCTCGAAGACGCAAATCCTTTCTGGACCACAGCATTGCTAGCTGTATGATTTCAGCTCAAGATAGCTTTCGCATGATTAGGGTCAAGATGCCTCGCTCAAGCAGAGAGCATCCATGTCACCTTGCTCAAACAGTGCCCGCGCTTGTCTCTCGACCTTGTGGAAGCCACGCAACATTATCCGTGCTTTGAACTCAGAAGCAGACTGGGGTCGTTACATCTATGACGTTGGCCTCGCGGACTTCCACTGGCGGGAGATCCAGCAATGTCGGAATTGCTGGCAAGGGCTCCTTGATGTTGGTGCCTGAAATAGCCACAAGTTTCATGCTCGATCGCGCTAAGCTTTCTTTGACTTACATTCCTGAATCTGCTTCGCAATCACGGCCGAGGTGCGGCCGTCACAATGCAGAGATAAGTGAACTGCATCTGTCAGCGTCACTTTCGCTAAGTGGTCAGCAGAAACAGCAGCATCGTTCACCTGGTTTTAGAACAAGCACGTAAAAAGGAGCCCAACTGCGCAAGGGCTTGCCTGGAAGATGACCTGGATGCGATCGTAGCTGGGAGGCAGCATGCGGACGCCACAAAAGCACACGACATTTCCATCAACCACAAAGGGTTGCCGATCCTCCTCAGGGTCCAGCCTCATGTTGCCAAATGGCGCCCAAAGGGCCCCACGCGACATTACGGCTTTGCACCACGAATCTGATGACGGCACCCCTAGTGCTTGGCCGCATCAAGAAACTGAGGTTCAAACGCAGCTTCAAGAGCCTTCTTGACGTGCCTATTTCCCGCAGGGCTCGAGTGCCAGCATGTGAGATCAAAATCTCGTGGGTAGTACCGCTGCAAGGTCTTGCTGAGTCTCGTAGGCCTTTCAGGCGCTGGGAACGAGTCTCAACTCGTTCACGTGGTGGGAGCACCGGCCTGGTAAAGTTGTCCACGCTGAAATAGACAAAAATGTTGAGATTGTCATCCAGCACTTTCTCTGACCCAGACCAGCCTGAGAAGAGAGTTGTAATTCAACTTTGGCTCTCGTGGCAGAAGAAGCCAAAGCTTTGATGCAACGGGTTCAAAACATCAATGTTGTGCACCCTGCGAGCCTGGTATGTAGCAAACCTCTTGCATCACCCAGTTTTCACAGATCCAGCAGCAGCGCTCGTTTGCACTGACCTCGCAGGCCAGTCTTGGTAGTCGGCACATGCTCCAGTCGCTGTGAAGAATTACGATATGGACTCTGGATCATGGATCACACTCATTGTACTGAATCATGAAGGCACTGCTGCAATCCAACGCTACGGTTGGGAGGCAAGATGCGAGGGACAGTCACTCGTTTTGCCCAAGCCTCCTCACTTTCTTGGACGAAAGCAGGTGCCGACTGGACCTTCGCATGGACCCCGAGCCAGGCCTGAAAAGCAAGTGGATATAGTGGGTGAAAGGACCGACCTCGGACACCAACAGGCCTTTTCCCAGCTGAGATCACCCTCAGAAAATGCATCAGCTTTCTCCACCTCAGCAACGTGCCAACAATTTGGCTGTAGTGCTGCTAAACTCGTTTATCCCTGCAGCATGGACCTGCGAGGAAATTGCAAAGTCACAGCAAGCACAAGAACACACAATTTGCCTGAATTCCAACACGCTGCTCTCCGTAGCGACGGGCTGACAGGTTCGTACACTAGCTTGAGCTCCTTGCAAGTAAGCAAGGTGCAAGAAGCAACACGTGCAACGCAGATAACGCAGGCAGAGGTGGTGCTGAAGACTATGCCGCTTTCCTCTGCAAAGCGGCCCATGCGGTCCACAGAGAGGTTGCGTGGCATGTTGCGAACCTCTGGCAGACTCGGTTCAGGTGAGGTGCAAAACAGTGTGCTCGCTAATTCACGAAGTCCAAGCCACGCAATCATCCAAGCATCGTCGGGTACGTTCCCGCTGAACGAGGTCCTGGCAGGTACTGCAAAGCCTGAACTGAGGATTAGTCTAAGCACTGCGCCAAACAGCTGCCATTCGGAGAAAGGGGTAGCCTGAGCTTTGCTTGCATGCTCTTGTCCTGGAGCTTGCTGGATTCGCTGACCAGTCGCGGCCAAAGAAGCCCAATGTCGTCAACAAAAGCTGCGTTGCCTCTGCCATTCACTTTTTGAACGCAGCTGAAACGTTTTCTCCTTTCGCAATGCTTGACAGCGGACTCTTACTCAGAAAGGCTTTGTAGTGGTCATGATCAGCTCAGGTCCTGGCCAGTCATATGCAGGCCGTAGAGGCTGCGGTTGGAAGAAAGCCCTTCTGCCAACGTAGCACAATCGCCAGCCGACAGGCAGTTGTAGGAGAGGTCCAGGTGGAATAAGGTCTCACAATCCTAGCTCCAACCCAAGTCGATGCCGAACACACCAAGTAATTAAACGCCAGATCTGCTGCTGCAACCCAGAGTCAGAGAAAACTCCTGCCAAAGCCTGAACAGCTGAGCCTGGGCCCCAGCACAGTCTCCGACAGCCAACATGTCTACAATGTCTACAAGCAATCGAGGACGAGGCTGCAGTTGCTGCAAAGGTCACATTGGCACAGCATGGCATCTTCCCGGCATCCTGCGCTTCAGAGCCACGCAAGCCATCGTACGACAACACTGAGAACGCTGAGAGCCATAGGTTTGGCCAAGTTTCGGAGGCCAATGCAGTTCCAGGCCAGATTTACTCTGGAGAGTTGCCCCTTGAGACGCAGGCTGTTATTCCGAAAGCCTGAGTCCGGAGACACTCCTACCATCTCCTATCCCAATCTCGGTGTGATGGGTGAAAAAGGCTCGGCTGCAGAGTGAGCCACCTTTGAAGATGTGCGTCGCATCAGCTCCCTGGATCTTGTTCCAATGCAAGTCCAGGGCTTGGATGTTGGCCTCGCAGGTCTGCTGACAACATACAGCACTCAAGTCATGGGCATAAGCTGCTTGGCCCGTCCTTTTGGAGATTAGAATCTGTCAGAGAAACCAATCAAAGGGCAAAATAATCCACCAAGTGGCAGCATTGGCGATGAGAGACCCGATCGCCATTCCCAGAGTCTTGGAGGTACCCAGCGAATTCTTTGCCAGGCGAAGGCCAATCAAGCTGGTCTTGCAAGCCTTGGTCTCCCGCTGGCAGAGTCCTAACACTACAAATGAAAGTTGATTGCAGTTTAGTAGCCCTGCGCAACGCGTTGCAGAGCTTCACCTGGCAAGTAGTTTTACCTAGCTCTTTTGGGGTCGCGCACTGCTGCTTTCTTCGATTGCCAATCAAGAACATGCCATCTCCACCACGGATACGTCACCTCAGTGTGCAACAGCACATGCAGAAAGATTGCTTTCAAGGAGATGGCGCATGCTCTGCAATAGGCATCAAAAGGCCATAGCGAAAATTAGGCTCAGAAGAGCCTCAACAGTACCAGCCTCGATGCCTGCTAAACTTCACATGCCGCCATCCCTTCGAAAGGTCTGTGACAGAAATCAAGCGGCAGCATCAGCAGTCTCAGCAGAGTCCCTCCAAAAGCTCTGCCAGCCAGCCCAAATATTTACTGTGGAAGAAGTGTTTTGGGCAAGGTTATGTTGCCATTCATGCTCAGAAATGCTCAGAACAGAAATTGGCAACCAAATCGCCAAGGTCGTTCTCAGCGACATCCAGCTGCTGCAAACAGCAGCTTTTGGTGCCCTCAAGTAGATTGGCCAGCGCCATGCCTGCACACTTCCAACCCTGAGATGGTCTACCCTTGTTATTTGATGCTATTTCAGCCTAAGCCGAACGTCGCGCAACGGAGACGCAGCAGAACATCGCTTTCAAGATTCGGCACGCAGAAATTCTTTGCGTGCATCTGACAACTGGAGACACTCACGCCCAAATCTGAGACAAAGCCTGACATCCGCTTGAAGTCTCATGCCCTCGACGGCCTCCCATGTGTCCCAGGCGATTCTTGGCCAAGTGCAAGCTCTGCAGAGCAACAGGAGGCTGATCTTCTGCAACCTGTCGAGACTGCCCCGGCAGGATGGCCCTCAATCTGGATGAGGGTTGCTATTTCTCACAGCTCTACAGTTTGCAGGCACCACATGCTTGTGACAAACATCCTGAACCTCCAGCAGGAAATTGATCCAGCAATCTGTGAGGCGGTTGTCGGTCAGGTTGATATGGCGCAGGTTGGAGAGCTTGATCCTCGGCGTGGAGCACTTGGTCTTTTACAAGTTGAACGTCTGTCTTCAAATGACATGGCTGCCACAGCAGCCTTTCATAATCTGGACAGTTGACGTGCTGACACAAGCCATGCTCCCAAGCGATGCTTCCGGGCTTGGGAGAAATTCATGTTTTTCTCCATGTGCACTGATGCGGAAGATTTTTCGCAGCGCAGACGCTCTAATTTGTCCTGCAGACTTGCGAGATACTACTTACTACTACAGTACTGCATCCAAAAGGCTGTCTGAAGAGCGTCGAGGCATAATCATCATCAAGACCCCATCCTGGAAAGTACAGGTATTCTGTAGAGCTGGAAAGGGTTCCTCAGCTTCCAGGTCCATGATGCAGAAACCTTCAGATGGTAGCAACTGCAGAAGCTTGCAGCTAAGTGACTTCTCCCATGGCTGGCGGAGGCTTGTGCTCCTCGCAAGGGAGTCTTGAACGACTGTGAATCAAACTGTGAACCCAAGCGCTTGCAGGGCATCCTTCACGTACGTGGTCGAGCTGCTCCCAGTTGACGACCTCTCTTCCTTCGGGAAAAGCATTCTTACAGCTAAGCCTTGCATAAGGCACAATGGGTTGTCAGCCCAGACGAGTTACGGATAGTTGCGCATGCACAAAGCTGTACGATGCCTTTGACACACTTCAATCCCTCTTGACCTTGAAACTGATGTCTGTCTACTCGTCTGCATTCCACACATGACATGCCCGCTTGCAGTCCCAAATAGGCTGTGTTCGCAAGAGATGCGCTGACGGAAGCTTGTCGGAGGTGCCACTTCCGATCCGGTAGCCTGGGAGCCGTCCCAAGCTCTTAGCTCGAAGGCGTACCATGCTGCAATCAGCTGAGGCCTGTTGATCCATGGTCCAGACCAGGTCTGTCGCGCGCTAGGAGGACTTAGCGCACTTCGTGCGGAAATCACGCCTCCGGGTACGACAAACCAGGCAGAAAGCAAATCATAGCAGCTTTCACTGTGTCGTGGATCTGAACACTTCCGACTTCATTGTGATTCATGCAAACTCTTCACGCGACTATGCGTTTCATGTCAATGCTGGCCATGGGTTGCCAAGTGAGGCACGTGCACTCTGCGCTCTGGATGCATGTACGGTCGCAACGCTGCCAGGCTTCAAGAAGTGGCGGGCCTAGGCTAACACTTTGGGGCCTCCATCTGCAATGATGTCTCAGGATATCTCAGGTTGCCACCGGCTCACGCGGAAGAAGTGGATGCGCCTCCTGTGCTAGCGAAGCGTGCTTGCATGCTCTGCAGCTGCGTCGCTTTTTGGGTGCGCCCTTGGGCCTTGTCACCGGCAAAGGGGAGGTCAAATGCTGGCTCATGCTCATCATCTGCATCTGCACAAGACGCTGGGCACATCTCATACCAGGCAAGGCAACACAAGCAAGCTTACTGCGAAGAGGTGCAACTTGAGACAATGCCTCGCTGCAGCTCCCCTCGGGCCGACAGCTTGCTGCTCGTCCGTGAACCTCCACCAGCGTAGGAGAGGCAACCCATTTCGTGGAGGCAGCAGATGCAAGAGTTTGCGGTATGCTCCTGTTGCATGCATTATGCCATCTGCCTCGGTCTTCCAAAGCTTCAAGCTTCCCTGCAGCCCGCTTACTTCCAGCGCGCGAAGATGCTCGGGATTGTGGCAAACCTCACATGTCACCGCAAGACGTTGGGCATCTGACGTAACTTCTAGTGGGCTTGAATCTGCGCAAGTATTTGAAAAAACATTGACTCTCATCCTATGGGATTGCACACGATACACGATTGGTCACTCTTGCACCCTCTCTGACTCGTTGTGAGCCAAGCTTGCCTTGAAGCAAGCGCATTGCCTGCGAGGGCCGACGAGCTCCTTTCACGGTCTTCTTCCCTGACAGAAGCGCCAAAATGCTGTGACGAAAGCCTTCATGCGTGTGGGTAGCGAAGTGAAACGCACGCCTGACACTTTCTGCAACGGGTGGAGGCCCACAGGGATGGCGCTTGCAGTAGTGTGGCTGAAGACACTGCCAGGGCCAATTATGGCTCCATGCGCAAACTGGTCCAAGATTTGTCCTCGCGTTGGCAGGACATCACATTATCAATGTGAGGCTTGTATTTGGCGAAGGTGGGAAACGCAACTTGCTGGCTGTGGCGCATTGCCGTTATCACTTGCAAGACCTGCACCTGCATACCTCACGAATGCCCAAATGTCGGAAGCGCTCCACTTCCTCCTCGAGTGGCAGACGCATGAGGCAGCTCGGAATCCAGCGTGGCTTCCATGAAGGATTCCAGCTCCTCAAAATCCTCTCGCTTCAAGAATGAAAGGCTTCTTGAGATTCAGAGCTTATAGCTCCAATTCGGGTTCACTGTAGCATGAATCCTCGAAGGTCTCTTCCTCTTTCGCCAGCGGTAAGATGCGGTGCAGACGCCCGCAATGCACCTTCCGCCCTCGCGCCCCAGCAGATGCGCCAAGCAAGTTGACTACCTCAGAATGCGCTCGTGATACACGCTGCCTTCTGCGGTGACACCTCTCCCTGACCTTGCGACATACCCTCTCAAACAACATGGGCACCCGGAGAAAGTCAGTCAGAAGACTGAGCAACTCCACCACTGCATCTTACTGAATGTTGCCGCAACTCCCTTCCAATAGTGCCCTGTTTCGCGACGCCCCTCAGATCCTTGATAATAGGTTCAGCACAGCCTTCTGCACATCTCCCGGAAGGGGGGGCTCACCAAGAACATTGTTTCCCTATTGAAAATTGAAGGTAAGAAGCCTAGCGTTGTTTATCTCAACAGCACGGAACTTCCCAGTCGAATCAACGAGCGATGCTGCAACTTATGGTTGAGGTGGTTCTGAGCAGCACACGGGCTTCAACGCCTTTGGCGATGATCCGCAGCTCGGCCTCGGTCTGAGGGACCCGTGCTGTATGGAGGGGGGAGTGTGAGGGAAGCTCACCAAATGACTCCCGAGCGCATGGCAAGGTTGCCGCAGCTCTGTCGCAGAGCCACCTTTCAAAAGCATCTTGTCACCAAGAAAATCAACATGGAGTAGGAATTTGAGATGCGCACAGCTTCCTTGACTCTGCATGTTCCGCGCTGATTTCAGCAGGTACTAGGCTTGCAGCTCATAGTGCTGCTCAATTTGCACAACCCCCGCACGTCTGTACATCTGCACACCTCCCGGGCCTTGCAACTGAGGGAACGCTCTTCTGCGCCTTTGGCGGCTGGAGCCTTCTTCCTTGCATCTTTGCCATCCATGACCTCAAAGCGCGTGCATGGCAGCTTCGGCGATTGGTCAAGGCCCCAGCAAGAAGCCAACAACGTGATCTAGTCCCAACCTTGTTTCCTCGAGGTCTTCATCGACATCCTCGTCATCGAACGACATGCGCATGGCCAGCTTTGAACCATGGCGCCCAGGGAAATCTGAAAATTTCAAATTGGGGGGGATGGCAACTTGCCTGAGGTAGGCTTGTTGGTGCAGTACACTTGCCAAGGCTAGGAGTCTTACAAAGTATCTACACTGGTTGCTTCTGATATCTCTGTTAGGTGTTCAATCCACTTTCATCTCCTTCTTTAAATGTCACGCAGGCTTGAAAAAACGCCTGCGGCTGGCTGTCAGGCTGTGAAGTGTCTCTTGAAGTGTATGAACTGCACCTCTGTAATCCTCTGTACCCAGCACAGCGCGAAGAGGGAGGCACCCGTTCATGACTGGCAATCAGCCTCTGCACCTCAGACTCGGGGCCGAACCTCGGAGAGCTTTCTTCGCTGTGCTACACGCGTGGGCACGACGTCACGAGGCTGCAACACAAGGCCAAGGGTTGCCAGGTACTGCTCGTAGCCTCCGAACTCTAAACCGCATGGATAAGAAGTTTTTTTTTGCATGAGTACCCTACCCATTCTACAGCAAGCACTCTGTGACGCACAGGGGGGAATGTTCAGAATCCTTGGCTGGCCGTGAGTTCTGAGGTGTTAGGTTCAGAGCAAGTGAACGCAGAATGTCCTGGCACACCAGCCGCATCATAAGGTTGGTGACTGAGAACGGCCCCAGAAGGCCCGGTGCACTTGCAAAGGATGTGAGAAATGGCCTGCACGATCCAACTCACCACCGATGTACATACCTGTTCTTGCACCAAGTACTTAACAAAAAAACTCATCATTGAGCAGCACTCTGCAGGGAGCACGAGTTGCAGTCTGAGTCATTTCACGCTTGCCTGGCGCAAAGAATGGTATACTATGGTATACTTAAACTATGCGCATGGATCCACCCAGAAACTACTGACAGCATTCAAAGGCGGGTCTTCTGCATCAAGGCCTGCCAGATCGTCGGCAGCGGAATCTGCAGGGGCGAATACCTGGAGACATCCCAGACTGCGATGCACAGCCACACTGAACTCATTTTGGGAAACACTTGACACGTTGGCAGGATTCCTTTGGCTCGGTCCTCTCTTGTTTGCAATCTGACAACTGATGCCAGTAGAACAACTTGAAGCATCTGGCATGAGGGTCCGAAAAATTCTGGATCTCTTGAATGCCCTACTGCGGGGGCCTGCATCTCAGCTTTTGGATGTCTGCTGAGCACACTATGGAGTGAGGAACGTCTGAAGCAGAAGATTTTCGTCAACTCCAACTCGAGGCCTCTCTATGCAACAACCACCAAGCCAAAACATTCGCGAATGTATTCTGCACGCATCAAGCCGAACCAACAAGCAGTGTACCTGAACAGTACGTCACACAACGTGTTGGTGCCAGTTGGCCAGGGATGTAACACGAGACTCTGCACGCGCACTGCCCTATCCAGAAACTCAGCCTCCGGACCCTCTGAGCCAGCGGGTTTCCCGTCGAGGGGTCGTTGGTCGGCACCAGGATGTTGCCACTGAAGGGCCCTTGGGCCTGCAGAAGTTGCAGGCAGTTGCAGGTTTGGGGACATCCACAATTTGGGGGCGGGTTCTCAAAATGAGAGGGGGATAACTGACGATGACCCCTGCAGTAAAGATTCTTTCAAGAAGCTTCGATGTGACTTGACGGCCAAGCGGAACGAAAGAACTTGCCAAGCATGTGCTTTGCCTGCATTCGGGTAGCGCAGATCCCAGCCTCCGGGTTGCAAGATGAACCCTGTAACACATGCTGTGTCATGCATGACTGCTTCGAATGAAGGCCTACCTAGCAATCCTCGATAGCTGAAAGTGCTCCATGTTTTCAACAAGCATGGCATGCCAGCATTGCCAAGGGGCCACGTTGCAAATAGTCTGTAACCCGCTGCCAGCTTGCGAGTGCCCTTACGTTTCCCCGATACTGTCAAACCGTGTACCCGTGCATACGACTAGAATCCAGGAATTCAGTCACAAGGGCAAGTTAGATTGCACCTTTACGAATTCGTCGTTTGAGATGTCAGTACGAGCCCGGCCGTGGTCACCTGCACGGACGTGCGACAGCAGACATAACAAGCAGATGGTTGCGATGCCTCTTTTTTCTTCCGGAGGCTGGGGAGATCCGCAGTTGTCTGCAATGATTGCTTTTGCCTGATTCCAGCAAAGTCTGGCAGGTAAAAATGCTCGCGAACCCGCTTTGGCCTGATCGGAAAGGACATTGGGCCGGCCTGCCTGCGAAAGCTTGAGCTGTGCACGTGCACTTGGGCCGCTAGGGCGGCAATGGGCGGCAGACTCATGTAAAGCACTGTGGCTGGTTAGCAGCTGCCTCAGCAGCTGGCATCGTGTCCTGCATGAAGGGGTCTGCACGACAAATGCCCTGAGGAGGCATACGTTTGGGTCCTCCTGCAAGGCCCTCTGGAACTGGCTGAATTGCAGCCTGATCAGCTGAACCTACAAGCCGAGATCCCAAAGAGCTCTCACGGGTTGCCTGCCAGAGCCGGCATCCACCGAAGAAAGTAGCCGTGCCTGAGCAGACAATGGCGCTGCAACTACATCTCAAATGTCTGATCTCAGTCTATCTGAGGCTGCTTTTACAACTGTTGGTCGAGAAGCCCTAATGAGCTGCAATGGTGAGACTGGAAAGGTGTGAGCCGCTGCCTGCGTTGCGTCTTAAGTTCAGAAGCTTGCAGGGCCGACAACCGCGGCAGACACTTCGCGGCTCAAACGGAAAACAAGCCGCAGAGCAAATCTGCTTTCTGAGCTGCCTTTGCTGGGACTTGCTCTTCCTCGCGGAGCAGTGGTGTAGTGTAGATACAGAAGACGAGTGCTCAAGCATGAGTGGCCGGGCCCCGACCGTACATGGAGCTCTTAATGAGGCCATTTCAACAGAGATCAATGCTTGTCTAAGTTTTAGCATATCCTACTGCATCAAGAACCACAAGCACACTGCTCCATCTTGAAGACCCAAAGTTGCCTCATGGCTCAGGTCGAGCTCAGCTTAAACCACGATTGCCACGATCGCGTAAGTGAGAAGATGTGAGTGGTAGGAGTGAGACCACCCAGAAAATCAACCTGCAGCTGCTTCAGTGGCTGCCTTTTCCGAAGCTCGGCTCCTGATACACGCGAAAGCCACATCTACACCTGTCTTTCAAGTATGTCAGGTTTGAAAAACTGACTTAATTCAGGCCTGCCCTCCTGAAGGGTAATTACTCGTTCCTGCTTGTTCCATGGAATCTCCAAAAGCCTAAAAAGCTTGTAGCGCAGGCTGTGCGCAGAGCAAACTAATGCATCTCTGCTTGAGTTTGTACTCAGAACGATCATTGAGAGATTCAACCAAGCAGGATACCCATCTACTTCACTGCCTACACCCGACTCAAACGAGCCTGGAGAAGTCCTCCAACTTACATCCAATTTGACCATATCAACTTTTGCGGAACCCTGCGGCTCCAGATGCACAGATGGCAGCGGGAACAGTCAGCGCCTGCTGCAGGAGAACAATCTACAGGTCGCTGGGTTGCCGGGCAGGAGGGGTTGCTTTGACGCAGCATCTGTTGTGCCTTCACGGCATCCTCGCTCTTTAGATGCAAACTTGCACCCTAGACCACGACAGCTATGTGGATGGCCGATAGTGCCCTTGGAGATGATGACATTCCTGGTGTAGGACGCATCGTGTACAATAAGGACCCCGCAAAGCAGTTTCGAACGGTTGGGAAGGTCCTGCCCTCTGGTTGAGGAGGCATCTCTGGAACTGCAGGCACTGCTGGAGCCATTGGTCCCATCGGCACCTGAGAAAGTCATTCAGTGAAATCATGCGTGAAGACAACGATAGACCCGCCTGTAGGTGGGCAGCACCTGTTTGTCCCAGCTGCTGTGCCAGCAGTAAGCCTGCACCAGTGCCTGCACGCAAGCACGCAAGGTGCGAATCACCCGCTTTCATCCTGTTTGCGTACGACATCAAGGCTAATGCGAGCCTATGTGCAGAAAATAGGTAGACGCAGCATGTTTTCCCCTGCGCTACCGCGCTGCTAGCTGCACCCATAACAGTGACTGTTTGTGGCTCGAACAAAAACACTGTTGACATAGCACGCCGCGGTGTCACCATCGTAGTCCTCAATGTCGGTGTCAATCTTGAAATGATTTCCAGCATCGCCGCCTTGACTTTGGTTTTGCTTCCCAATGGCAAAGTGGTCACAGGTGTACTCCTCGGGCTTGTCAGCATTTATGCTGCACTCATCAGCCGTGGCCAAGTGGGTATCCTCAAGTCCTTTTGGTCCATGCCCAACTTCTCAAACTGCTTGCTCCATGATCTTGCACACTTGCCATGATTCCCATGACAGTCATCGGAGATCAGCCAAGGTCTTGGTAAAACATGGTAAAAAAAAAAAAAGGTCCGCAGCCTTGGTTACATCGCACATCACGAACTCCATACCTTCTTCCTGATTCAGCTCCTTCACCTCAGGTGCCCGCATGTTCACGATATCCAGTGATTCCAGTGTCAACCCCCGAGTTGACAGACGAGGCGGAGCCACCACCGGTAGTTCTAAGATCAAAGATCATACCGGGAGCGATTATTCATCAGAACAGCCCTCCCCACTGCGGGAGCTGCGTATCTCGCTAGCATAGATCCCATTGTATTGTGCAAGCCCATGATGAAGTCTATGGAAAGCTTCGAGTCCCAGCAACGTTTCTGACCTTACTTCTGGCCTCCTTTTTCCCATCCCGGCTCCCTCCTCAGGCCACCCCAAACCTCCTTCCCCCCTCGGCTTCCGGAATTCTGTGGAAAAGCAGGGACTACGTGTGAAAGGATGCAACGGCCCACTCACGAGAAAACAGCAGGAAAAAAGCTTTCAGGCTGGAGCCATTTTATGGAAACGCCAACTCGCCAACATTCGCCAACTGTCATTCATGGAGCACCTTTAAGAAAGCCAGCCAGGATCGAGAAGATGCTTTGTGAGGCATCCCTGTACCCACTCGCAACTCGGATGGAACGGACTTGCACAAGCAAATCCAGGGAGCAGTTTGGACGACACCATTGACGCGATCATCTCCACACTCCCCTCCCTGCGATCATTCAGCCTCCCTGGCCAACACTGCAGCAAACGAAAGAATACAAACGAGACCAAAGATTCTGGAGAGGAACTAGATGAACGTCTCGCTCGCCAATGGGCCGGGCCAGCATCAAAGCAAAGCTTGACCAGGCGGGCCAGTCGGGCAAGGTATGGATTCGGCGCGGAGAGACGTGAAGTCAGGACATGTATGAGTTCCGCAGCTCAAGCTTTGCCCCACAACGGGGATTTTGCACTTGACCTCTATGAACTGTTGACGACCGCTGGGTTGTCCACGGCATGCAGCAGTAAGCTCAAAGAACCCCACGATTAGTTTCCATGCAAAGCATAGCACAGGCAGTACATGCTGAATTGCGCCGCCAGCTTAGCTCCGTATGAAATGCAACGTAGAACTCATCAACCAGCTCTGTGGTGCACAACACTAGCAGAGCAGAAAGTCAATGCAAAAATCTGGCCTGAAAGACCAGGGTGGATCGGCGTGTGCTCAGGCGTGCTCAAATGATGTAGCGGAAGTCGGGCTGCAAGGTTCTGCTCCTGTCAGCCCAAAGCCGCTCTTATGTCTTGCTGTAGAAACCTCATCGGGTGCCCTATTTCAGATTGTCCTGGGACATGTGGTTCAACTGACCAAGCAGCTCCTGCAAGCGGGGAGAAGCAAGATGGGGTTTCATCCCAGGAATCTCATCATCGGCGGGGATGAGGCCTGCATGTTCCGTGCATTTTCATCGGCGGCGGCCTCCGAATAAACTAAAGAATTCAGCTCACAATACAGACGCTGAAGCAATCTCATCTGGACGGGTGCATATTGATAGCCACCGTTTGACATGTCTGACCTGCAGCGTTGCAACATATCCATTGAAGGCAGGGTTCCTTGGACAAATCATCAGCATAGCTTAACAGAACAGGATCGCAACGCGCTCAATGTCGCGAACCCCCCCTCTGCTTGCTGCGGAGAAACGTCGCGGGTGGGGGAGTGAGCGATTGATGGAAACTGACCTTAGAGGTATCCAACCGTCGGACAAGCAACCAAGAAGTCTTGGATAACAAGCGCCAAGTCCTCCGCTTTTTGGCTTGGCGTGAACTGGTGTTGCAGCAGCGGACCGAAATCGTGTGGCGGTGTATGCTGGCGACCGCCAAGAGCTTGTGGAGTATGCTGCCGGCTGCCAAGTTGTTGAGGAGTATGCTGCCGAAGAATCCCTGTTGGGGAGCTCTGTGCCACAAATTTCTGGAAGTCGTGAGGACTGTTGGGTGTGAGCTGGCGCTTCCCAAGGTCCTGAGACAGAACATCAGGCAAAGGCAGACGACTTGCAATAGCTTCACGTCACCATGCGTGGGTTTGCACAGTAGCTGGGCATGCAAATGTCAGACAGGATGATGGATATGCTGGCCAATCCGCCCGCTTGTGGCAACATGCCGGTGATACGAAAAAGAGAGCTTAAGTCACGGATGCGATGCTACAAACACGGGAACAGCACGTAATACTTCTGGCACCTTCTGCCTCAACTTGTGAAACCTTGAATGACAAAAACAGAACACGCTTAGCTTGACGTTGAAGCCACTCATGCGAAACGAACTTACCTCCTGTTTGGCAAACATCACGCAAATCTGCTTGCAGCCGCAGATCCAGCAGCAAGTGGCCCATGTCTTCTCGAGGAGCGGCGCCTAACATCCAGAACTTCAGAGATGCCTAAGCCAAGATCAGTTTGTTTATTGTTACCGTTTTTGAAATTCACCTTGTCCGCTATTCACTGATGATGGCACTCTATCCACAGGATTGCTGGCACCCTGGCCTCCAGACACTGAATTGTCCTTTGACGCGCGCCCAGGAGTAGGTGTGGAATTGGCAGATACATCTGACATTGAAGGTATCGCATCCTTGGCCCCAAACTTCTGAATTAAAAAGTAGACTAGCTGGGCGGTGATGGCTCATCATAGGCGCTTAGGGGTCTCTTGTACTTAAGATGCGCAGGCAAAGACCGCATCGTTGTTCAGATTCATGCTGCACGCGATCATGTCAAGGTCTGGCTGGGGCACTCTACTCACAACAGATGGCTGCTTTAGCTATGCTGTTCAGTCAGTCAGTAGTTAGGCATATCTTGTTGAAGAATGGCTCGGTTCAGCCTGATGCCTTCTGGTGAAAGAAATTTTAGTATTACGACGAGACTCTCAGCGCCACTGCTCCACTTAGAACGTGCGGCTCATTCACTGGGGCTGAGGCGACAGACTTTACACACGGGAGCAGTTGCATTTTCGCGGAGTTTCACCTTCCTGTAGATACGCCGGTGGCAAGAATACGATGATACATGATAACATGCCGGGCCAGAGGAGTATCTTGGCGGCCTTGCGCCTGCGTCACGACTATTCTGGCTTCGGACATGAATCCCTCATGCTGATCATGCAGCCTTACCTCTCGTCCCTGATAAATGGACCAGACCTTGCCTAATGCTTAGGATGCTGTACAACCCAGAGAAGATCCCCAAGATCTTCCAGGTTTGACTTCTGTGTCCAAGCTTCGATGTCCAGAGGCGTCTTGGAATTAGAAATTTCCTGGATGAAGCTGACGATGACCATGCCAACATGCTGGTGCACCTTCAACAACCAGCGCAAGGTACCACATAATCAGATTCTGGATTATTGTATGTGGCCTTGTCAATCATTCCAGTAAGGAAGGCGAACCTCAGTTCGAGGTACTCATAAAGGATCTGTCAGCTTGCAGGGAAAAGTTGTCTGCCCCTAGGCTTGACTCACAACATCTTAGAGGCTGGTGAGGCGATCTCCCGTAATAGTGCTGGCTTCAGTTGTTGTTGAAGATCATTGTAACTCTGGAGTCAACTTTGCAAGCACGTGCCGATAAGACATGACTCGGTGGCTGTGATCTCCAGGGGAATTCCGCACCTACTGCGTATGCCAGCTAAAGTGTGCGCTTCAAATCATCAGGCAAACCTGCCAAGGAGCCACTCGGAGGTGTTCCTGTGGCCTTGCATCACTGAGTTCCTGAGCTGCCAGAGTTTACAAGGACAGTGAAGAGACAAACCTCCTAGCCATTGCCTCTGCTACACAACCTTGTGCATGCATACGTGTCAGAGGAAGACCACCGGCACATTCAAATTTCCAAAAGAAGCCACTGACCAGAAAAAGCAGAGATGGAGCTTAAGCAGTTGAGCATCTCAGCAGCTTCCAAAGCCTGGAGCTCCGAAGTACTCAGAATTGGCTCGTCGGCCAGCCTTTCTCAGAAGGTCTAGACTCTGGACCTCTGGACTCTAGAGTGTCTGGAGGTCATGGTTGAGCTGCCGCTCAAGCCACGATGCTACGAATAGCACCGTTACTAATTGGTTAATTCTATCATGATTCCTGGCTATGCAGCACAAAGCCCAGCTCGGCCTGAGACTGGGCAACAGCCCTTCGGCACAAGAGACGACTTCGGGCCTTGAGCATTGCTTTCTTGCAGCAACTGGGAGATAAAGCATTGCTGAAGTGAACCAAACTGTTGGGCATGCTCCTGGACTTCAGGCAGTGGGGTCTTACCTCATGATACTATTTTGACTCAGTGCAGACCTTGCCCGCGCTTGCCAAGAATACTGCCCAAATTTGGGAATCATGTTTCTAGGGCTGCACAAGGGGACCGAACTCTACCTGCCCAAATGTTCACATGAGAACCGAACTGGCGAAACAACATGCAAGCAATGCAAACAAGACACTGCATATGGGGGGCAGAGCTGCCAACCAAGTATTGCCTCCAATCTGCGTGACTGGAATGCTGGAACACGCTCACACTTCGATTTACCTGAAATCTACCTCAGCGCAAGATTGTTCCACCCAGAGGACCACGACATCTAGTCACCAGAAGCTCCAACCGGCAGCACATTGCCGTGCATCAAGCCGGCCAGTGCTTAGCAGCTGAGCTTGATTGGCAACGGAAATCTTGCATTTGGAGCCTGCAGCCCTGAATCTTGGCGAAGCGAAGCTGAGCTTTCACAGAGTGAAGTGCCTCTGGCCGTCCTTGCAGCAAATGACAGCAACTCTCGCGTTCGACGCTGCTTGCAGATCAAGGCCTATGTGGAAGGAGATGAAACCTCGCTCACGGCCCAACTGCTCAGCCTCACACGCAAATCTTTGACAGGCGAAGCGCAGGTGCGACTGACGTAATGTGAGTAGTACGACTCCTATTGCTGTGGTGATTTACAGGGACCCAGCAAAAGGATTCCGGAGGGCCTGAGTTTAGTGATAGATGCTTTGGGGGGGGGGGGTAGGGGGATTGTAGTTGTTAACCTCAACGGATCTGATTCGGTCTCCTTCCCTCTTTCAAGGCTACAATAACGATTGATCAAAACAAAAACATTGGTGTGTTGGATACTTGGCCTCTGGAATATGTATAAAATATAATATCGTAGTAGGAAACCTCTTCTTACTTCATGAAGCACACTACACGTAATGCCAATCCGGGTATCTAGTCCCAAGACCCAGCGGAAGATTTAGTTGTCACACGATGGGTCTATACGATGCTAACATATCTAACGATACTCTACTAGTTAGCCTTACAGAGAATGGGACACACTATCGGCAGAAGAAACGTTTCAGATTTATTGTAGGACTGTTGCCACCTCAAAAGTCTCGACGTCCCAATTCGGAGCCCCTCAAGACTTTGATGACAACAACAGGAGCCCCAGAAATGATTTTCGGGGCTTGCAAGGGCACTCTCAATCCCAATGCCACACGGCTGTGGGCATGCCAAGGTCCAGGCCATGTGAAGGAGCATCCTGCTCGCTTTCAGCATGTTTCAGCTGTCTGTATATTCTCCCACTGCGCGTTCAATGCAGCTTGACTAAGGACGTGCCTTAGCTTCAGCTCCACCATCATCATCTGCGTGTCGGGGCCTTCGGCAGTTTCCGCAGCTGTCTGCATGCCAAGCCAACCCGGAATGCGAACTGTGGGCGCCTTTGAAGGCACTCGTGAGTTGACCGATGAGACCTATGGCATCTTCGTTCAGCTGGCTATACCCGCTGAAAACCTGAAGCAGCAATCAAGCGAAAGACCAGTTGTGTCTCACACTGACAGACGTTGCTCACAGTACAAAAGCAAATGCGACTCAAACATGTCATGAGGTGGGCGTCTCGCGTCGAAGACAAACTCGATCTATCTTTACCTAAATTTAACAGCAAATTCCAAATCAAAGCTTGAATGCCAACCAGTGACCACGTCAAAATTGTCTTCCCGGCTCGTCTTCGGGACAAATCTCAGGTTGCCTAAGATGCCAACATGCAGGCTAGGTCTTTTCCATAGCTTAATATTTCGGAAGTCACAATCTTCCCCCCAAATTTATCCAGCCGCAGGTGAATCAAGCCATGCGAAATGCCATTGCAGACTGGTGGACACATCCCGCAAGCGCTAACATCCTATCATATCCTATCCTATACTAAGCGGCAATCCTCAGCGTCCACCATGTGTTTGCAAGGTGCGGCACTCAAGTCGCAGGCGCTGCGTCATGTCGGCCATTTGACAGATCCTCTTGTTCACATCCTTAGGCGTTGGCTGTTGAGCCTTGCACTTGCATGTACTGTGCAAGAAGCATGCCCCTCATAGCCGTCTGCTGCTAGCCCATACTATTACTCTGCACATGATGTTTAGCACAAGTGCAACATCTACTGACCCTCCCGAAGCACCCATACATGCAGCAAGGTGCTGCTCTTTGGTCTTCCAGCTGGCAGAAAGCCAATCCTTCCTCGCAGAACAAGCCAGACTGCAGACTGCACTTCAAGGCCTACAGAGAGACTACAGCAGAGTCCGACACACAATATTGCGGCTAGCCGAGTTGGGAACAAAAAACGACAGTCATAGAAACGACAACTGGAACAAGCACGCGGCAGGGCGCGGGACCAGACAACATGCTGAATGCACGGCTCTGGAAGAATGCAGCTTTCAAGCTTTCAACCGCGATCCATTCAGGATACATGCAATCCCTAGCAACGGCTCGCAAGCGCGCTGGCGTTTGCAAGATTTGTCGGCGTTTTCGGCATGATATCCTTTGCGCTTTGAACACCAGATCCTCTTCCCAGAATCAATGGGGTGGTGCATGTACCCCTTGCGATCGTCTCTTGTGGCAATTGGTGGACCATCAAAATCTGAATTAGAATTAACGTGACGATGCTTCACCACTTGCCGAAAGATGGGATGGATCTAGCTCCCTTACAGTAATGAAACTGAATATCGTATTGTGCAAGGTGCTGCAAGCTTCAGCATGAGAAGGATGCGGAGTCCTTGCGTCGATGTCTGAGGATTTTTCGTGTACTTCACTTCCCAAGCAGCGGCCGCATTTTCTCATGTGCTGACAGCGAAGCGAAGGATTGGCATTTGCTTGTTTTCTTTACTTCTGCCTTTTCCTACTGACCTTTCCTCTCGGTCAAATACTGACCAACAATCTTCCAAAGTGAGCAGGAAGCGAACAAAGCGCATGGTCTCTACAGAGTTCTTGTTTAGTCTCTGCTGCTTCAAGACCGTGACTTAAGCGCTCAATGAAGAATGGCAATTCCGTATACCGGACCCCGAAACAAGGATTCGAGTAATTGTTTTTTACTGGGAGGAAAAGCGTCTGTGACAGCCTGCCAGACTGGCCCTGGCTTTCGCTGACGCTTTGCCTGGCCTGGTCCCTGGCCTGTGTGTCTCCTTGTTCAATGTTGATTTGCCGTGAATGATTTTGTTGTTTCACTTACGTGACGGGTCCACTCCGGCGCGTTCACGGCACATACCTGCACAAAGCGTCAAAGTCAAAATGCTTCCCTGTTCAATGGTCTGCGGCTGCTTTAGATTTTGCAGCAAATGTTTCTTCACATGAAAGAAATTGATTGTTCCTCTGCTCTTTTGCTAAGGATTGTTAAAGCCGGGGGGGTGCCTACAGTATGTCCCCTCCCGATCTTTTGCTGGGGCTTCTCAGTTCCTGGTTGGTTCTCCAATACATGATTCCCCGACTGAGTCTTCAGGCTTATCGCAGGGCCTACTGGGCAGAAAACTGTCAGTTAGGCTTGCATCCAGCCATCGCCCAATTTGACCATCCCATCAACAGTCCTGCAGCTTGACGTAGCTTTCATCGGTTGACTTACCTGACGTGGATCAGAGCCAGCTCTTCCACCCTCTTGCTGGAATCATTCAAGCGTCAAACGCCTACTGCATGCACATAAACAACACCTCTACTGCGTAACTGCAAAAGCAAGCCAACAGCGGGTTGCTGACTGCCCTCTGGTGTCTTCGTGTGCTTTGTTGCGGCGCCAAGCTACAAAACCAGCGGCAAACGTTCTCAGCTTCTTCGTTCCCACTAAGAAGCCAACAGCTTGCGCCGCGCCTTAGGAAAGTGACCAGCCTCACTCTAAGCAGACCGGACTTTCCATCAAAGCAAAGGCAAACTCAAATTGAAGCGTTGTTGAAGGTTGCTCTTTTTCAAGAGTGGGCACTTAGCAGCGCTACATCTTCGCGCGCACCCGTTTAACAGTGTAGCAGCAGTGCTGGTGTAAAGGGGTCCAACTGGGCACTGGTCAAGACAGAGATATCTTCATGGCATGGAGATGAAGAACTTGAAGCCCTAAAACCCCCCGTGGCCTACATAATTCTCAGACCTGTTTCCTTGAGGCGGCTTCCTACGAATACATGTAGAATCTAGAGCTTCTCAACTCAAAGCCAGGCACTCGCGCTGCAAGGCCTTGTTCAGCTCTTGCGCTGCGAGCAGCACTTGCATCTCGCTGTCTCGATCCAAAGGAGTGTGCGTCCTCGAGCTCCTGGGATGCAAGAATTCCAAAGGGGTTTTGGGGTAATATTGGGAGAATGGAAAAGAAAATGGAAACTACTACAATGGATTATATAGGGATTATAGCTCATTTTCCTTACTCCACATTGACATCTTCAACGCAGGACCTGCCTCGGCGCACTGCCGCTGCCTGCACAGGTGTGAAGCATCAGTTGCTGGGGACTAACCCCTCCATCCTGGCCTTTGGACAATAACCAGGGATGTTGCAACGCATCTGCCATCGAAATCCGTCGCTGCCTCAAGTCTGCCTACGTGTGGCAGGACACATGCACAACATCCGTCTGTCCCACAGGCGACAACATCCCCAAAAGCAACAGCTTGCTGCCACAAGTCGGATCTGGCTCCATGAGCTGCTTGATCAGGTCTTGCGCGTTTGTTGACAGCAGTTTCCACTTCGGATGCTTCTCCTGGGTTCTCGCAGAGACTTGCCGAGGAGTTAGCGCTGAGCACACACGCAGTGTACGGAATCGAGCAGATGCCATGCTTCTGTACTGGCCAAGTTGCATAATGATAGCCCCTAGTGGTCTGCGGCAACGCATTTAGCAAGAGAGCATACAGAACCACTCCAACAGCGAAGGAGTCCTTAGATCCATGCTCTGTGTTCTTTCTTGCCTCGTCCTGTCTGCTTAGCCGAACCATTGCGGGCAGCGTGCCAACTTGAAGGGATCGTAGGCAGAATGATCCTGAAGCCAGGGGCTTTACGCTGGCAGATTGGCTTTTGGCATTTTCTGCCCTTTGGCTTGGCGAAGCGGTACGACTACGACATCAAAAGGTATCCATTCCGCTGCCTCGGTGGCCTTCTGCACCTCTGGCGGGGTGTACACGGAAGTCGTCGTCAGCGTTTTGGCCTCGGCTCGACTTATCTTACGGCATGTTCCATGATGCAAGCTGATGTTTCGTTTGCATTTTCCGCTTAAAAAGGGCCTGAACACTGTTTCGCAATCAGTTGTCGCCGCACCATTGCAAGCCCCAGCGCGTGCAGGCAACTATCAAAAACTTTGTGCAGGCCGTATCCTCATTACCAAACGTGCAGCAGAAAGGAAGCGGGATCTGGTTTGCGTAGGCAAAGAAAGGTTTCAAGTCCCATTTTGCAGCCGTGCGCTTTGTGGCCTAGGTCAACTGGATCGGGCACGCTTACTTCTGTCTGCTGCAGGGTGGACCCTCTCGATCCCTCTCGTACGCCGAGATTCGAAGATCTTGACTCGAGCAAAACTGACAGAGAACCAGTCTCGCTCCGCTTGGAAATCTGAGATGCGCGCGATGCTCCGCATTCTGTCGTGAGCTTGATTGTACATGACAGCCTGTCTGCAGTGGCTCTCGCCGACTTTCAAGGATCTCTATGCATCAGCGAGAAGCACATGGCACACAGTCCCTGCTTTACTGTCAAGCCGGTACCTGGCCAAAATCGATGAGCTTCACCACCAACGGTCGGCGGCTGGCCACCATAAGATTCTCAAGCTTGATGTCCTGAGATTCATGCAGTGAAGCATGCAACGTGCCAGAGCTCTAGAACAGCCCAGAAAAGAGCTAGAACATTAAATCATGTGTTATTCATCCGCTTTGAAAGCAAAACTCTGGCCTGTGGCCTGTGGCGATTTGATCAAGAGGCCGGCCTCCCCTCCCCATCCCTGCGCTCCCCCTTCCCCCTGCCCCGCCGCGATTTCCCCTGCCTTGCGCTAGCAGCTAAATCTGTTTTTGCGGCAGTGCTTGCTGCAATAAGAGGTCAGGCAGACCCCTGAAATGCGCAAACGTCTCTGTGCAAACAAGCAACACGATGGGCAACGCCACGACGGTGACAGTGCACAACTGCCATTGTCACCTGCGTCAGCGCCTGGCAACGCTGGAGCGCTATACTGGGGAGAGCAAACTCTGCAACAAGAAATGGCTGAGAATTAGCCACGTCTTGAAAGAGCCCAAAAGGGGGAAAACCGTATCTCTTCAGGCAGTTGGATGAAAATTCCAGCGCTGCAAAAGCAATAATAAGCATGCCGCGCCTCCCGTGCGTCCCGCTCCGAGAAAGGCTGTCGACGCCGCAGCATTTCAGAAAAAAGATCACTGCACTCCAGCAACTGCCTCAGGCTACGCTTCATGATTCTTTGCTCAGTGCCAGGACACCCCACAGCACAATAGTCATTGAATGATATTGAATGAGCAGTGAAGAAGCCTGCACTGCTGCACTGCAACCTACTGCACGCACAATTTTGTGGGAAATCTTGACTTTGCTTTGCCTCTTCTGTGGTGTATCTACACATTTCTTGACCTAAACTTCCTAATCATTGCTTCATTGCTTTGACCACTGACTTGTGAATTTCAAGGTCTGTCAACACAACTCGTGTTCCGTTTAGGTCGCTTCAGGATAGTGGCTTTAGGAGGCCTGCAAGTTCAAACGTCCTGGAATGCCCCCAAACTGCCCAAGAACCAAAGACCCAAGTGTTTGCAATTCCTTGAATCCGAACAGCGAGGGCACAGGAGGGCACGTTGATGCAATCATGAGTTGAGCCCTGCAAGCTCGACGGCAGCCCACATGAGCCGAAGATTACAGTCAATCCGTGCAAACAGCCCTTGCAAAGCTGCCAAACATAAATGGTACCTGATTACTCCGGTCGATGGGTGCTGGCCCTGGAAACAGACCGATCTCACAAAGTTGGTACGTTGCAATCACGGGGCATTGCGATGTAGATTCGCAGGGTCTGCTGCGAAACAGCAGCAACGCGCAGCTGGACAATGTTTGGATGGCCACCGAGACAGCCCAAAATTTCGGCTTCCTGCAACATTCGCCTCCAGTCAAAGAATTGCTGCAACACAAGCTAACCTCTCTCTTCAGATGCAACGCAAAATTCAAGACAAGCTGCCGCAGAACAACTTGCTGCGAGCAGTTGGTCATCATGGCTATCCTCTCCTTCAGGACATGAAAATGATCACACAGGCAGTTCTCTTCGTGCTCTCTAGCAAGAACCTACTGCCAGAGGTTACCAGCTTCCATTTCAGGAAAAGCACTCATGCCCCGTTACGTATGACGAGCTGCGCATAAAGTAAGTACTAGTCAAATGGGGATCTCTCTGCATGCGATTCCCAACCTGACCTAAGGTCACCGAATGATCCCTAGATAGTCCATGCACTATCCCACCTCGTCCTCATACACAATCTCGAGATAATCCCTAAACCCCAAACCCCAGTCCTCAACACTCCTCGACAAAACTGCGCCACAGCGCTAATCCGTGCATATTCCAAAAGAATCCCTACCGTCCCTCACACGCTACATGCTAGGCCAGGACCCCTGAACCCTGACCACAAAAGCCTTAGCACCAAACCAGGACCTCGAGCCAAAACACCCTCACCCTAAAGGGCGCAAACCATAAACACCATAACCCAAGGTTGTAGGCACTGAACAGTCAATAGACCCCAAACATCCCAAAACAACTGAAAATCCCTCCAAGCCATAAACTTGAACCCCAAGTGAAGTGGGGCTTGCCCAAAATTAGGGTACCTTTTTGGAGTCCCAATAATAAGGACTATAGCATTTTGGGGTCTATATTGGGGTCCTTAGTCTTGGGAAACTACCAAGTGTCTGTACTGAGGACTTTGACAGCCAGCATGTGCCCATCGCAGAGGCATCGGTACACAGAGCCAAAGCTGCCTTCGCCTGGCGGAAGAAGCTAAGAGTTTTGGGATGATATTATATGGGGTTTTCCCAAAATCGGGGGTACCTTTTTAGGGGTCCCAATATTAAGGACTATAGTATTTTGGGGTCTATATTGGGGTCCCCAATTTTGGGAAACTACCATATCATAGTTTACTACATTATATTGCAGTATGGTATATTGCATTATATTATATTTGCTGATATGGGAATGTATGGTCTATGTCTATTAGCAAACATTATCATCATGTTTCAGGCATTCAGCTAACAACAGCAATGATGCATGAAACGATCATACCAAGAACAGTTCGTAGAAAATCGAGACTCGAACACCCCTGCTTTGTGACTCGGCCCTGCTTGATGTGATCAGCGCTGTACCCATTTAGACAAACAGCTCAGCGGTTTGGATGAATGTCTTTGACCGCAAAACACCTTCAGCCCAGAGGGAGGCTTCACAGCAGACGGTGCCTAAAAGAGCTTCGATTTGGTAACGTTCACCATTGATCGTGAAGCCATCCTGCCATCAGGTAAACGTCACAAAACGGCTGAAGCTCACGGAAAGCCTTAGCACGGCATGCACTGCAATCTGCGTCCTCGGTCTCCTCGGTGGCCCAGGTAAATGCGCCGCCCAGCTGCAGCTGCAGACGCTGAAGCCACTCCTGAGCGAAGAAATGGGAAAGGTAAGGTGAGCTTGGCCATCCTCCATCCTCCATCCTCCAGGTTTCTGTTGCATATGTTGCAGACAGGGCACCGTGATCGCGTCTGCGCTGTCAGCCTCCTGGCTGTCGAACTTCTCTGTCATCTTCAGAGTTTTAATCGCCTGTAGGAAGCGCGCTTACTAGGCCTCTCTGGCAGGGAGCAGCCCTCTGAGACAAGATTCCGATATCAAGCTACCTCTGGCTGCGTGAAAAGATCAGATGAGCGAAGAAGGACACGCTGCCAGCAACAAACTTGCAGGCTTGCCTGAGTGGCGTGAGCCACAAATGGTGGCTCTTGACAAAATGCTGGCTTACTCATCCATCACTGCTGGCAACGCCGAGCTCCACTACAGTTACCAGGTTAAACTGGTATTGCACTGACTGGCTGGGTTAAAGTCAGCTGCTGGTGTTTGTTAGATAATGAATACGGAACTGACACATAGGTCTCTTGCCAGAATGGCAGCGGCATCACACAGGACAGTTAGCCACAGCACAACATGCAAACTCAGAGTTCTATGCGTCTGTTTTGCTGTGACGCTGTCTGGGAAAGCCACGGCTGACGCAGTGAGGCGGATCTTAGAGATTGCACGTCAGCTGCTGTCTGCTTGCTTCAAGATCACAACGCTACACCGCTGAGCTCAGTGCGCCATGCAGTCGGCTTAGAGCTTCCGCCAATTGAGGGATCGGAAGCTCCTCTCCTTCCAGTGTTGCTATGCAAAGGTTAGGTTTACACGGCACAAATGCTGGAACACGCTCAGATCTTCACTCACAGCCATGGCGAAGAGCTCATGGACAGACGGAGCTTCTCCACCTGTAACACAAAAGCAACTGCTGTCAGAGAGCTTTCCATGACAGAAAGCGGTACCGACCTGTTGAAGTCTGTTCTGCGCCAGAACGAGCAAAGACTCGCTCGAAGGAATTACTGCCTCAGCACATGTGACAGTGACTTTCAGCCAAGAATCTACATAGCTCATGTTACACGGCGAGTTAGGTAAAAGGGGCATAATACGTGTGATGTTTTGCCCGCTGAGTGGGAACAAACCGCAAAGACAGTCAACTTGCGGTTCCAGACATTTTGGACGAGGCACTTCTCGACATTGTGATTGCGGAATTAGGTCATGGCCAGATTTACGTGACTTGAAATTCTTGAAGTGCTTGTGCAACCTAAGCTTGTTTGATGGGATGATTACTTTGTTTTACAGGTCACTCAGTGACATGTGAAGATTGTCAAGGTGCCACCTTACGACAACGTAGCGCTGCCGAGCTTAATTACTGAACTGCGCTCATGCCATCATGTGAGTAATTTGTACTGCTTTTGCTGGAAGCCAATGCCGGTGAAAACCAACCCTGCCCGAAGCATGTCGAAGGAAAGAAAGCACAACGTGCAAACTTCGGAGCGACTATGAAACAACGCAACTGCTTGTGGGCAATCGCTTGCGAATAACGAGGACGCCTGTTCCGTTTCTGCCAGCTGCGCATGAACCCTGCAAAAGACTGAATGTCAGATCAATTTGGCATCTCTGGTCCAAAATCCCAAACCACAACCATGCTTCCGTGAACTTCACCACATTGACGGGGAGCGGCCAGAATCATGCAGCACTAGGCACCCATCATAATGTGTGCAGCTCAGCAAACTCTACACAACTGTTCTTGCAACAATCAAACGTTGTTGGAATGCTCCCACCTGCGCCACATCCGCAGAATACTAACTTTAAGGACTTTCTTCCACTTGAATGCTACAGGCAAATCAATTTACCGACTAAATGTGCAATCTGCACCAAAGCCTTTGCTTCACTACACAAGGGGACTCTTGGTCTGACAAGACATACTGAGACTCTGTGAAGACTGCCAAACAAGCTGCAAGAACAGAGGTTGCTAACGTGCTATCAAAAGAGAAAGTTGAGCAAAAAAGCCTCAAAGCGCACAGCCCATTTTTTCAATCTGCTGCGTAGCTTCCCGGAGGTCCATGAGGCTTCGCTGCTCAATTCACAGCCCTACGAAGCATCTGCAATATTCCACATGGTTGCAGATCTTTGCTGCAATCAGCGAAAACGCGTTAATTCGGAGACGCACTCAAACTATGCGCATCGTTGAAGCATCTAACTACCAAGCCACAGAGCCAGCATCACCTGTGTCATGGTGAAGATGAATATGACCCTCATTGCAATGACAACAGCATACAGCATACAAAATCCCGGAGAAAAAAAAAACGCAGTCAACGATAATCAAAGCAGACAACATGCTGACAGTCAACTCTGGCCTAGCCGCACGTTTACCTACTTACGCACAGCGTGTTCTGTGCGCATGTCGAATTTCATGCATCCCAGGTGCTTCATCTTCCGATTTCAGAAGTATCACTCCTGGATGTTGGTTTGCCCTTCACGCGGCAACCAAGACACATCAAAGAAATCAATGGATTGAGGGGTGAAAGCTATTCTCGCCGAAGTCAGAAAAGACTTCTCTACTTCTTCATGAAGCCATCATGGTAGTGGATGTGGTGGTGATGTGTCACAAACGAAACATGGCCAGGCTTGCCATGGAGATGAACGTTCTCAAAGGCGTCCGAATGCAATCCACCCATGTAGCCATGCACGCATCCAAGCTCGTACTTCTGGCAGCAGTATGCCTTCTTGTGTCTGGACCAACCATGTTGCCAGTTGTCATACCCTGCTGCGCAGTCAAACGGCTCTGCAGCTGGATGGGAGTGAGTTTCACAACCAAGTTGATACTTTCTGCAGCAGAAGGCCTTCTTCTTGCCTGACCAGCCGCGTCGCCATTTAGCATATCCTGCTGAACAATCAAATGGATCTGCATAGGATGGAGTGGAACCTCCGCCATGATCGTGATCACATCCCAGCTCATACTTGTGGCAGCAGTAATGCTTCTTGGCAGTTGACCAGGTCTGGCGCCAAGTGCTGTAACCAGTTACGCAATCATGCGCCGGGGGATGCGCGATGACATGCACATCGACAGGCGCGTCATCATGCTCACATCCAAGGTGAAAATTGCTGCAGCAGTGGGCCTTTTTCTTGTCCTCAGATGCCCCGCCTCCTTCCCTGTTAAAGACCTTTCTATTTGACAAGCAAAAGAAACTTAAACAGGTCAACCTAAATGAAGTGGCGGACAGACGAGAGTCAGACCAACCGGCGTGCCAGTTGGCCAGGCCAGCCTCACAATCGAAGGGCTCCGGCATCGGACAACCACGTCCGTAGCTCTTGCAACACCATTTCCTCAGCTCGCTCAGCTCGCTCAGCTCGTTGAACTGTTGGATTTCCCGACAAAAACGGCACGCTACCAGTAACTCATCCAGGCTGCTGCTTGGCTGGAGTCCACAATGTTTTCCAATGCTCATAGCCAGCTTTGCAGTCAACTGACTGTGGCGATGCTGTCCTGCAGAATGCACTGCATGCACCGCAGTCATGCCAACTGCGGTCGGCAAATCTTCTGAAGTCCTGCAACCAATATGCAGGGTATCACAGCAGTACTCCTGCTCAGATTCAGACCTGAGCAACGAAACCCAAGCTGCCTCTCACTCAAAAAAATGATCAAGCAAGCCAAGTCATTGCTGCAGGACAAGGAACCACTGGTCCTTTTCCGATTGCTTGCATGTGAAATGGCAACCTTTCCTTTCTCTGGCACAGCACCTCAGCTCCATAGAAAGGCTTTGAATATCTTGATATCTACATGACTTTCATTGAATCACCTGATCGTGAGTGTACATGAAGCGCATAGGGCCTCACGCGCCACACCATCTTTGCTGCCGTGCTACCATTCTCGCTTAACTGGAGACCACCCCCTGCACAGTCGCAAATGGATGACCTGCCCTGAAATGACGCGACAAGCATCCATCGAACTGGCCTCCGCCAGTTTGAGAAGCCGGCGGCGCAGTCAAAGTGTCCCGTTGAGTTGCAGCCAAGCTTCTCGTTATGACAACACCAGGCCTCAGTCTTAGAGTGACATGCGCCGCAATCTCTTGGCTTTGCGCGTTTCTAAAGCGCCACACCTTTTTGCCATCGGACCAACTCGAGCCAGCCTTAAACAGGAAACAGAAAGCCTGCTGCCAGCTGTTTCGGTACATGACTTCCCCAAAAAACGTAGGACGCCAGCAGAGCAATCAAAGGGCTTCGTGACATCCTGCCAGCGGCACAATTGCAAATTCTGTTTGAGCATCACTTGGCTACGCGCCTTTGAACAACCGTGGCGGTAGTGTGCGCAACACCACTTTTGCCTGCCTGGCAAAACTGCGCAAAAACTGCAGACACGGCAACTGCGTTGCAGCAGGAAGAAGCTGAATACTGCCACACTACATCAATGGAGCCAACATGCCATGTTCAGGAAGAACCTGAAAGGACTGTAGAACACAGACGTGTTGAAGCACTGTCGAAGATAACGCATACTAAACTTGAGAGTGCAACCTCTTGTTGATTGCTCATACTCCTGTGCGGCTTTACATCATCGTGATCCAATCCAGCCTTCTGACCACTCCCGGATGTCCGCATCGTCACCCTGCACTTCTCTGACTGTTGACTGTCGACATCACCGGTCAAAAGCCCAGGCTTTCTTACATCCTGCATCGTACCATTGCCTAAAGGTATACCGTGCATCACCATGACAACTCTGCCACTGTTGAGGGATCGCTCTTGGCACGTGATGCACGTGACGTAGCTTCGTGACAGTCATCATCCACATCCAATGGTGCATCCCCATGCTTGCCCGGTCCCGCAACATGTCAATCCAGCCTTGCAGCTGTATGGCGCAGAGTAGAGGGGGCAGCCAACGCCGTAGTGCAGACAGCACCAATCTTGTTGGTCCTGAAAGACCAGTACAACAAACCGTTGCCAATATTGTGGCTGGACTTTTTCATTAATCAAGAAGGGCACGACGCGCTGAATCGGCCCCAGACAAGAAACAGCAGCACAAGCTGTTAAAGCCCAAATCTCCCTGCGGTCACAGGACTCAAAACCAAGGTCAGCCCGTCCTTTTCCCAAGTGCTCGTCTCGTTCTCTGTGGTTGTGTTGCAGCTGTACGTCTTGGGGCACCCCTGTGTCAAGAAAACTATTGCCAAAGCTCTGCTCATGAGCGCCGGACAACTGTGACCAGCATCTATGTAATGAATGGATTTAAGGACTTGTTATCCACTAAGTGGAGTCATTGGGTTGCTAGCTGGGCTAAGCAACTCGTGTCGGGTGCTGCTTGTCTAAAAAGTCTCACTCGCAACTTCTATCCGCCTTGCCCACTGTCTTGCAGCACCACTCTTTCTTCTTCTTGGTCCACTTGTTTTGCCAGTCGTCGAAATCTGCCTGGACATACCGTGGACTATCACACTCCCAAGAGCACCACACACAGCAACACCATGCACACAGGCAGAGTGCGAAGTACAAGCACATGGCAAATCAAAAGATTGAATTGAAAGGTTGCATGCATCCATCTGTTCGATGCTGAGCTGCCGTGCAGCTATAGCTCACCACTTTGCAGCCCATTTGGAAGTGGGCGCAGCAATAGGCGCTTTTAGCAGCAGACCAAGTCTCGGATGACGTCTCAAAGCCTCCACGCATTGCAGCTACGTCTACCAATCCATCAACCCAGGCAGACGTGAAGATTTAAGCAGGCCTTGATGACAATGGTAGACTGTACAAGCTCGACCCTCCTGGTGGCAGCAGGCGTCCTGGAATGCTGCTTTCGATCAAGCATCGGCCGTCCAGCAAGCAAGAGTCGTTGCAGAGCAACCGAAAGGCCTGCTTTGCGCTGCTCCAAGCAGTTGCCCAATGAGAGTAGCCAACATCGCAGTTGTAGTGTACAACCACATGATGATGGATGATCACCTCGGTTCGAACCAACCGAATCACCCGCCTGGTGCTGGAAACCGTCACAGTTAAGATTCCCAGGAGCATGGCAAGCAGAAATAAATTGCACTGGGGTCTGTCAAAAAGAAAGATTTTTGTCTGATCTTGGACAGGCGTGCCTGAGGACCTGAGGACCAAGCAGAATCACTGCAGTGGATGCCGGGAATGCCGCAGCACCAACTGTGCTTCTGCGAGCTCCACGTCTGGCCAACGGTGACACTATTGTCATGTATCTAGTACTCACACTGCATCTCAAGGCCTGGGGATGTCCAGTGCAGTCCATGGGGACATTGCTTGCATCAGACACCTGCCACTCTGTCAATGCAGGGTGTTGCTACGCCTACAGCATTTAATCCAGCAGACCTGTCGAAGAATGACAACATAAACGCTTGAAGACCTGGTGTTTGCAAGCCCTTTGGTGCTTGCACATGCGGAGCCTCCACACTGTCCCCCATGGATGAGTACGGGATGGCTCGAAACTCCTCATGTGAGGACAAATCTTACTGACATTCAGGAAACGGTTTCAATAGAATGACGTTTGGCTTAGCTTCGCCAGCACCAAACGGAGAAAGTTGCCCAGCAGCATGGACCTTGATGTCTTTTCGCTGCAGTACGCATCTCACATCGAAAGCTGTGACAACGAGAAACAATACTTGGAGGTGCGGTGTGTTGTCCTTTCATGCTAAAAGCCGCAAGCAATTAGCCAAGCTTCCGCATCCGGCCAAGCTTGAGATATTCCCGGCTCCATAGCAGGCTCCGCGGTGTCTGTCACAGCTCCAAGCCCTTCTAGGTCTCCACTGTCCTGGCTAGACAGCAAGAGCTGAAGGCCCATCTTGGTCATTCGTACTTTGTACTTTCGTCGTATTGTGGCACCCATCCCGGGCTTTATACAGCCTAAGACCACAGAAGCGTTGTTATGTTTAATTGACTGGATTCCAGCGGCATGTAACTCAGCTAAGCTTCAGAGGTGATGCCCCTCTGCAGTACGTACTGGAATGACTACTGAAATTCACTGCTTTATACTGGTCGTACACACATGGACATCAAGGACCGGTTTCGCTGGCTGGGAGGGCATGTTCCTTGCAGCTGATTTCAATATAACTGCTTCCCAGCTTCCGAACTATCATCTGCCACCATAGGCACACCATCCGACGCATCTGTGATGCCCTGAACAAGAGCTATCGAAAATCGGAAATGTTCGGAATTGACAGCGTCTGTAAGGTCAGGGCGCCAACATTGCCGTCCAAATCCTACGAGTCATGGGCAAAGGCTTACAACCAAGAGTGAAGCAGGTGCTGGCACCATGCAGCTCCTCAACGAAGTTGGCGTGAGGAGCCATCATCTCTGGATAATTGAAATCAGCCATCTGTGTGTCCGCGGCCTCCGCACTTGAAACATGGATCCAAATGTGTGCTAACTTCCCGGCCCGCAACTGGCTCTTCACCGGTCCGCAGGACACGACATGATGCGCCATCATCACAATAACTCTCCCCTAAATCGCAGCTTTGATTGTCATCAGCGGTGGTGGTGGTGGTGGTGGTGGTGGTGGTAGTAGTGGTGGTAGTGGTGTTGGTGTTGGTGGTGTTGGTGGTG